CCTTGGCGGAGGATCACTTTTCCAGTCCCGTAGAAGTGATTGAGTGGCTCTACAGCCTTCTGGATTACTTTTACTAGAAGGCCAGTAGCCAGCTGAATAAAACAGTGACAAATTCATAATTTTGCTGCAATGGTCACGTCTCATTCTGAAGACATAGCCCGCACTGAACAGAGGTAGGTTTTAATGCTTGTTTTTTTTTTTTTATTATTATTATTATATAGTTTAACATTTGTCTTAACCCTCTGTCTAATGCCCTTCCTTACCTCTTTTTGCCAGTCTCTTACTGGTCTTGCCACCACCCTGCTCACTGATATGATCAAAAAAAATTAAGCACCAGTGGCTCCATCTCATCCTGAAGGATTTAATGCTTGTTTTTTTTAGGGATCATCTAACACAGAGCTATACTTACCTTAGTCCTTGGTACTATGGTCTTCCTCCCAGCCAGTTCCTCCAAAGTAATTCTTCTTGCCAGTCTCCTACCAGTCTAGTTGCCATCCCTCTCACTGACATCAGTTTCAAAGAAGGACCAGTGGTCACTTCTCATCCTGAAGAGGCCACCACTGACCTCGCATTGTACATGATGATTAGGCATGCCTATAGAAAATTTCTAGAGAGCAGGACCACCAGTTTTCATAGGACCATGGAGTAATGTTAGTATACTCTGTGTTAGACCATCTCCCTAGAGCAGTGGTCTCCAAATTGCAGACCTTTGCTTGCCTTTATCTGACACTATTCCTCCCATTGACACCAACAATGGGGTATTATTTTTCCCATTAACACCAATGTTGAGGCACTTTTCCTCCCACTGATACCAACAATGGGGCATTATTCCTCCTACTACTACCAAAAATAGGGTATAGTTTGCTTAAACTGATGCCAGGATATTCACTTCCCTCTGGCCACTGATAAACCCACGTGAAATCTGAAGAACTGTAAACTGGCTTTTTGATTAGTCTGGAGAACCCTGGCCTGGAAAACTCAATACTATATTTCTCAACAGTTAGAGTGGGGATCATTTTTTAACACTACCTAGAGTTCCACGTAAAAATAAAAAAACTCACATAACTACAGGCCCTGTTGAGTATCAGCATCAGCCACAATCAAAAGAGCCTTCAGGAGCACCTTTGACTATGAAATTAAAAGACTCACTCCCAAAGCAGGTATACCACCATTCTACCATGCAGTGCTTCATGCTTTTCACCCTATCCTAAGATTCTGAGCTGGTCACATACATTTAGAAGTTCCAAGGGCCATTATGCAGCTTTTTACTATGCAGTGCCACCTATAGTTTTCCACTTTTTTCTGGAACGTGTTTACGAAGCTGTGAAGATATAATTAGTTGTTTTGGGTTTTGACACATATCACTTTTCCCCTTTTATATTAAACTTCTAAAAGCCTTTCCAGATACAGCGCTTTAACCTTCCTGCCACTCGGCTATCAATCAATCGATTCAGTGCAAAGTGCCAAATTACTGCTAACAACACAGTTATATAAATGGCTGCAAGCCGCATTTTGTTGCTAAATTGATCAGGAACAGGCTTATAATCTTTAAATTGATATTGCTATTTTTCCAGTACTCAAATTGTTGTTTAAATTGCAGTGAGATATCCTGTTTACAAAGTAAACCAAAAAAGATGCTTATTGTTTCCTGCAAAATTACACCCAGTCTACACAATGTTTTTTTTCTGCTGGGATTTAGCAAAACATATCAATGAATGTGGTCATCTCTTAAAGGAAACTTGTACAGAGAGAGAGTGAGGGGTTGGGTTATTCATCGCACAATCCCATGCAATGATATTTGTTAGGATTGCACCTTGAATTATATGTTTGTCTGTTATATAAAGATTTTTTGTAAATAATAAAATATAATACATCTGTAACGTACCTGGTTGGGGAGCCTGACGTGGAGAGAAGGCGTCCTCTTACGATTCCCGCTCAGAGCCCCTGATAGTGGGAACAGAGGGCGCAGAGCCAGGAGTGGCACGAGTGCCGAGTGGATCTGGAGTTGGCGGCAGGTAGCTGAAGACCCAGGAGATCCAGATGCAGGCCAGGTGCGGATGCAGGAATGTAGGTGCAGCAGCAGGCAGGTATGGTGGCAATCGGGATGCAGACTGGGACTGGACACCGGAGTATGTATGGCACACGTTAGGATGCAAGCCAGATGCAGGACCGTGGGTGCAGTGGCAGGTAAGTATGGCACACGTCAGGATACAAACCAGATACAGGACCGTGGTGCAGCGGCAGGTAAGTATGGCACACGTCAGGATACAAGCCAGATGCAGGACCGTGGGTGCAGCGGCAGGTAAGTATGGCACACATCAGGAGGCAAGCCAGATGCAGGACCGTGGGTGCAGCGGCAGGTAAGTATGGCACACATCAGGATACAAGCCAGATGCAGGACCGTGGGTGCAGTGGCAGGTAAGTATGGCACACGTCAGGATACAAACCAGATGCAGGACCGTGGGTGCAGCGGCAGGTAAGTATGGCACACGTCAGGATACAAGCCAGATGCAGGACCGTGGGTGCAGCGGCAGGTAAGTATGGCACACATCAGGAGGCAAGCCAGATGCAGGACCTTGGGGGCAGCGGCAGGTAAGTATGGCACACGTCAGGATGCAAGTCAGATATAGAACCCATGGGTGCAGCGGCAGGTAAGTATGGCAGCCGTCAGGATGCAAGCCAGGTGCAGGTAAGTAGATACAGTCGACAAGCCGGGTCAGTATTAAGCAGGCAGATCAAGTACAAGGGAGCAGGCAAGCGGATGGTCAGGGATAGCAGAGGTCGGTGCAGGCGGAGTTCTTTCTTAGTCAGGGTCAGATCAGAACACAGCAACAGGATCAGGTAATAGTGCAGTGATGTTATAGACCAGAAGGCATTGATTGTACTGTATTGCAGGTTTAAATAGCCCACCTACCGGTGACGCGGACTCTACTGTACATGCGCGCACTTCCGCGCTTCTGCGCATGCGCACCTGCATGCTCCCGCGCATGCGCACTCACACCGCTGTGACCCGAAGGGATCTGTCACAGTCGCAAAGCTGCACGACGACAGGGTCCCTGACAAAATCGGTTATAAGACAATCAAAATAATTAGGGTAAAATTGAGGGACTGTAAAAACAGGTAGTTGACCTGCATTTTTACTGACATACAACCACCCTCTGTTTAAAGGATAAGTTCACCTTTAGGTAAAAAAATAATAAAAGCACATATTTTTGCATGTAAAAATGTACATTATTGTTTTTTTTTACAGAGCAGTCTATAAAGTACCGTACCCATGATCAGTGGATTATAGGTGCAATGTCAGGTTCCTGAACACTTTCCCTCCAGTTTTCTGCCCATACCTCCATATGGGCTTTCAGTTAGAAAGCTAAAGGAAGTGTCAATAGACCACGAGTGTGACGATCCATTAAGAACTACAAGCTGTCTGTTGGGGTGGCTGACAAGACTTGTAGTACCCTCTCTGTGAACAAACGACGAGGCTGTTCGGATTGGAGCTCCGCACAGCTGCACCAATTTTAAATGTGATAAAATATCATAAATATTACAATAAAATTACAACAAACTATAAACATAGGTGGAAATAATAAAATAATCCAACACAAATATATTGAAATGTCCGTTATAACTCCTTGATTCTCTGCAGTCACTGTAGTTCAATAAATCAAGTGCTTCTCAATTCACCTCTGGTGTCTGTTATCAATTCAACATTTGTGCACCCGCACCTGTTGTGCTCTCACCTTAAATATATGACCAAACTGTTAAGTGAGGTCATATAAAGACTGTGTCCCTTTAATGGGTCAAATATGGATGGGATTGGTATCAGGTCTAGATCCCCTTCAATCCTCTAGTTGCTCTCCTCCATCGGTTACAATGTCAAGAGAAATAAGCAGAACATAGTATTTTATCCTTATAACAAGCATTTATTTGTACTAAAAATGTTCCACTCACATGTGCATTATATAAATGCACTTAAAATGTGCAGTATATAAATGCACCTTCTCTTCTACGTTTGGCATTTTGTGGGGGGTAGCAGGTACCTGGTTTTGACAGGGAACCACTCCTACTTCCAGTTGGGTCACTGCAGTAATTCCATCTGAAGATCTCCCCACCACACCAGCAACCTTCTGGAATACATCACAGGTCTCAGAAGGTTGCAGGACCATTCACAAAGTGCAGCTCGCACATGTGGAGTTGGAAGTCGGTTGTAAAGCTGCAAGAAATCACAGCCGGCGTTTGGCACCCGAAGACCGGTGAAAAACTGGTCCAGGTAAGGACACCAACAAACTGAACTTCAAACAAACTGAAGTCCTCTTTAAGCCATATCTGTGCACTTCCTGTTTGCCAGATTATTGTGCTCTCTCCAGCTGATATCTTGCTCCTTGTATACCTGCAAATGTCAGTTTTTGCACTGCCACCTGTTACCGACATTTCGCTTATTCCTTGACTATGCTTCTGCTTGATTCCAACCTGCAAATATTTGTTACTGACCTTTGGCTTGTTCCTTGACTATGCCTCCACTTGATCCCAATCTGCAACCACGTTACCAACCTTTGACATGATTATGGACTATGCTTCTGCTTGATCCCAGCCTGCAACATCTGTTACCAGACCCCAGCTTGCTCACCTCCTGGTGGGGAGATCCTGAGGACCTCAGCCTGGCACTAGCATGCAACAAAAACCATCTCCACCATCAGAGGCTCTGGTGAAGACAGACTAGTGCTTAGACCCCACACCCCTTGGGTGAGCCCGCATCATCTGCCAGGTTGAACTGCTCATGTACTTTCCATGCTGGTTGGTGGGAGCGTCTCTACTTTTATAGCTACTGGTATCTGAGCCTGACCCCTGACCATGACAAATACAAACAACAGTTATTTTTGACAATCCAATATATGCTTACTTGAAGAACCTCTTTCCATACTGTGACTGCTGCCTGCCTTAGGGCCATCTCTTTCCACATCTCCCTGGATTCCTTGCATGCTTTGCAGTGTCTCCCCTGCTGTTTATTTTCAATTTCTAAGGATTACATATCCCAGGGTACCTGCAGGCAGTGATATTGCCTGCAGGCAGTGATATTGACCTCGCCTCCTGATACTCCTTCTCTTTGCATTCCTCTAGGAGCAGGGGCGGACTGACCTCCATCCACAGCAGGCTGCCTATAGGATAAAAAAAAGGAGGGGGGTGGATGCATGAACAGTCACCAGGCACAAGGAAAGAGAACAGGAGAGACAGGTCTTTATTAAAGGACACTCCTACATAGGAGCAAGATGAAGGCAAGAAGAAGATCCAAGAACTCTGCCCAGATTGTGGGGACCATGATCACTTTGTTGCCAGCTGCCCCAATAAGCTGGCAAACACCAAGAGTCTAGTGCGGGTGGGGTCTGCTTCTAGACCATACAGTGCTAGGTTCCCCCCAAGACAAACTCTTTGTTCCTGAGCAACTTTGCACTGCGTCGTTCTCTCACCAGCTTGCAGCTTTCATAGATTCTGGTGCCACTAGCAATTTCATTGACAGTAACCTAGCACACTGTCTACAGATTCCCTTGACAAATGTGCATTGACCTTTTTCAGTCTTAGCTGTTGATAACTCTCCCTTGTCCATGGACCTGGTCACCTTGTGCATTGTACCTATTACTCTGACCATTGGGGAACTTCATAGTGCCAAGGTACCCAGTCAGGGAGAAACCACACAGACAGTCCTTGATTTATATTTATCTTGTATATTGTATATAGGTTAGCAGTAATGAATAATGACAATTTTGTTTAAGCCATTGTTATAAGGCAATGCAACAGTTGGTGTTTATACAATATTGCCAGGCTTAGGCCTGGATTACTGGAGGTCGGCTTCCACTTGGAGGGTGGTGGTTGGTGGTGCATCGGACAACACTGTAATGCTGCTAGGAAGAGCCCCATGTTACTATTCTGGTTACCGGGATGTTCCCTTTCTGCAGGTGTTGTTCCTGTCCTGAACCTACTCACCAGGAACCTTTCCCTGCACTAGTCATTTTCTCTACGCAGTGGTGTTTATGTCCCTGACCTACCGCTCACTCCAATGATGCGGGAGACCCTATATATAAGGTTCCAAGTCAAGATGGCCGCCTGAGGTCTTTTATAGGTTGCAGCATCTAGTTGGACACCTAGCTTCTCTGAGACCCCAATGGAGTCCATAAGAGGACAATTCACTCAACAGACTCCACTCCACCAATAAGAGGAAAACCTGCACCTGCCTACAGACTATGTATGTACCAATAAGGAGGCCAGGAGGGTTTCCTTGGCTGCATATCTAGTACTGGGTATGTTATGACATTTGAAGGACAGACTGGGGGGACAATGGTGTCAGCAGCTGAAGAGGTGGGCATTTTTGGGGACCAGGGCACACAGTAACGAGAACCTTTATGGGAAATGTTTATAAAGGCAAACACAGCCTTTAAGTAGAAACGCTCATATTTCTTGTACCTAGACAATATTTTTTAAATATTAAAAATTCGGCATTATAAAATCTTTAAATATTAATTTCCAAACCCTGTTCACAGCTTCACTTTAAAAGGTCCAGAAGTGTTCATGCCCTTTAGGCCAAAACTGTTCATTGCTTCAGGACATTGGGCATAAAAGTTTCCAGCCAAGACAGGGCAGCACTCTCTTGAGTTCCTACTTGCAAGTGCATTGTACATGTGGAGGTAGGATAGCTCTGAGTCGAATGAATTAAAATGTAATAGGTAGAATATATTCTCACACAGTGTGCTGTATTCATAAATCCCCAATGCTGTCAATGGAGATTTTCATCTGAAGCTGCCAGACCTTGAAGAACAAACCAAGCCCTGTAGAGCAAGAAGTTTTCATAGCGGGAACCTTCTTCCAAAGTCTTTTAATTTCTTTAAGAAATAACACATCTGTCTGCTGAAAATCAAATAGGTAGCACGGAGGATGGTAAACGTATTAGAATTCAAGTTGTGCTGATGGATAATAATATTTGAACCACTCCTGGCACAAAGCAGCATTTGTAAATAATGTTCAGTATGCATTATATCATATTGAAGTGATAAAGGTTAATGTCAACCTTTACCACATTATAAACATTTAAAGCTCACATTCATTGTTGTTGTTTATGGATATACTTTGGGAGACAAAATTCTTTTGGTCGGATTTTATTGCTGTCTATATGATCCTATTGGGGGGAGATTTTTCCCTCATATTCTGTCCCAGCAACAGCATTACAAGATACTAGAAAGTAAATGTCAGAACAGAAAGACACAGACCAGATTCATGACCTAAAGCAGGGGTCAACAAACATTTTAACAAAGGGCCAGTTTTCTGTCTTTTTGGGCCTATAGGGGCTGGACTGTTACTAGCCTGAGTAGAACTGCGGCAGTTTTGGTGGTCCATGGGAGTAAAAAACATCCTAGAATAAGCGAGCAGTGGAAGTAAACAAAATTATCTGGTGCCTGTGGCTAGTGGGAGGAGGTATAGTGCCCCATCATTGGTATCAGTGAGAGAAATGGTGCCCCATCACTGTTGTCAGTGGGTGTAATAGTACTCCATTTGTGACGTCAGTGAATGGAATAGTGCTCTATTGGTGGTATCAGTGAAATGAAGGGTACTATATCGGTGGTGTCAATGGAAAGAATAGTGTTCTATTGGTTGTATCAGTGAGAGGAATGGTTCTCTATTGGGTGCATCAGTGAGACAGTGCTAAGTTGGTGGTGTGAGTGAAAGGAAAAGTGTTCTATTGATGGTTTCAGTGAAAGGAACAGTGCCCCACTGCTGATATCAATGGAAGGAATAGTGCTCTAATGATGGTATCAGTGGAAGGAATAGTTCCCCATTGTTGGTGTTAATGGAAGGAATAGTGCTCCATTGGTTGTATCAGTGGAAGGAATAGTGTCCCATCACTGGTACCAGTGAGAGCAATGCATAGTGCCCTGTCAGTGGTGTCAGTGTAAGGAATAATGCTCAATTGGTGGCATCAGAGAGAGGAATAGTTTCCTATCAGTGCTTTCAGTGAAGGGAATAGTGCGGTCAGGCACCAATGGGTTGGGGACGCCCTGTCTGACATCATATCTAGTATTACAGGGTACTTAGGAAGATGGGACAAAGTACTACATCTACTTTGTCCCATGGTAATCTACATCATGTAAAAAAAAATTATAATTCTTCTTTAAGCTTTTGGTCTTCCATTGACGCTGTTCTGATAAAACATTACGAATCTTCTGAATTAACTGACTGAAATATGACAGACCTGTTCTGTGATGTTTAAAACATTTATGAAAAGAAGTGAAGATATGACCCAGACCTAACCCTTTATCATTTTATTTACCAAATCATTTTTTGTGAATCTGTTGGGAAAATTCATACCTGGAACTCCTGCTGTAAGAGCATTTCCTGTTTCAGGCTGACAGTGCTAAGTCACTGCCTAAGCTGCAGTGTTGGTAGCCTGCTATGAGAGCTTCTTTAGTTGGTCTTTAGATCACGCAAGTTTTAAGAATGACACAAATATTAATTTACCTGTAAGGAAACATGTGCAGGCAGTCATCATTGCTTTGCACAAAAAGGGATTCACAGCAAGGATATTTCTACTACTTAGATTGCACCTAAGTCAACCATTTATCAGATCATCAAGAACTTCAAGGAGATAGGCTCAATTGTTGTGAAGAAGGCTTTAGGGCACCTAAGAAAGTCCAGCAAGTGCCAGGACCGTCTCCTAAAGTTGATTCAGCTGCAGTATCGGGGCACCACCAGTGCAGAGCTTGCTCAAGAATGGCAGCAGGCAGGTGTGAGTGCATCTACATGCACAGTGAGGCGCAGACTTTTAGAGCATGGCCTTGTGCCAAGAAGGGCAGCAAAGAAGCCACTGCTCTCCAGGAAAAACATCAGAGACTAATATTCTGCAAAAGGTACAGGGATAGGACTGCTGAGGACTGGGGTAAAGTCATTTCCTTTGATGAATCCCCTTTCTGATTGTTTGGGGCATCTGGAAAAAGCCTTGCCCAGAGAAGAAAGGGTGAGCGCTGCCATCAGTTCTGTGTGGTACCAACAGTAAAGCATCCTGAGACCATTCATTTGTTGGGTTGCTTCTCAGCAAAGGGAGTGGGCTCACTCACAATTTTCCCTAACAACACAGCCATGAATAAAGAATGGTACAAAAACATCCTTGTTGGAAGAGAAACTTCTCCAAACCATCCAAGAAAAGTTTGGTGACAAGCAATGCCTTTTCCAGCATGATTGAGCACCTTGCCATAAAGCATAAAGCAAAAGTGAAAAGTGGGGAAAAAGACATAAAAATGTTGGGTCCATGGCCAGGAAACTCCCCAGACCTTAATCCTATTGAGAACTTGTGGTCAATCCTTAAGCGGAGGGTGAACAAAAAAAAACCACAAATTCGGACAAACTCCAAATATTGATTATGCAAAAATGAGCTGCCAACAGTCAGGATGTGGCCCAAAAGTGCATTGACAGCATGCTAGGGCGAATTGCAGAGGTCTTGAAAAAGGAGGGTCAACACTGCAAATATTGACTCTGCATAAACTTAATGTAATTGTCAATAAAAGGCTTTTTTATGAAGTGAGTATAATTATACTTCAGTATATCATAGTTGAAAGAATGATAAACCAGGAATCTCTCCACAGACCGGGGGTCTCTGAGGGGTAACATTTGACAAAAAGATCTAAAAACAATGAAGCAGCAGACTTTGTAAAAATAATATTTGTGTAATTCTCAAAACTTTTGGCCACGGCTGTAGACCTGGCAAAATGGCAGGAGTGTACAATGCCAATTTAGATTGTGAGCCTGTGGGTCACAAAAAACAATTTGCTTTAGAAAACTGTATACAGTGAGACATGATGGCAAACATACGGAAACATAGATTTTGGTTTACATTTACTTTTAGCAACTATCCAGAGATAGGTACGTCCAGGTGTTTAGGAAAAGGTCATAACTGCATACTTGTTCTAGGTCAGCATTTCACAAGTATTGAAGCCAAAGATTTAGCATTACAGCCAAGCAACTAGCGTTTTGAGAGGTCAATCAGAAGTGGTAGCCTCTTTATTTCTACCATGACATGTTTTTGGTGCCTTGTGATATACATTCCTAATAATTCCTGAGCCAGCAGACTTAACAAAACATAGCTTGTTCGTCCGTGGCCTGTTGATAGGTATTCTTATAATGGGAACGGTGAGGCAACAGACAACATACATCATTTACAGTCAGAATACTTTCCGAGAGCTTTGCATTTCAGTGCCCAAGGCACAAGGAAATGAATTAACTAGAAATGGTTCTCAACCCCACATATTTTATTACCTTTGAGTACAATATTTCTACTGGTGATCCAACTGACCCAATGGCTTCGGTAAAAAGTCATTAGTATGTTTGTGTTTTTCCCAGGATAGTATTTTATATACCTTAAAGCTTCAAATATTTTTCTAAAGCAAAGTATGATTTAAATGGGAATTTAAGAGAAATGTGTATTTGAAAAGTTTATATAAGAGGCCATTTGTGCATTATAAAATCATATTATATGTTGACATAAATTAAAGCCCCAATCTAGCTTAAGAAAATAAAATGTAAAATGCCACGGTGCTGTTCCACCTCCAGAGAAAAAAAGGATCCTGGGACATCCCAGACAGAAGACCCATAGATATATACAGATTAAAAAAATGAAGGCAGTTCCAAGGGAGAGGTATAGGAAATGGAGGAGCTTAACTTAATTTTAGAGTAGAATTCAAGAGAAAAGAGTCCTTTTGTATATCTGTTGCAAACTTTATTGTAACAGGTACTTTTTGAATTTCATCTCCAGCCATTTTTTTTTGAGGGGAGGAGGGGTTTTGGATAGAGCAAGGAAGGGTTAGAGCCTCTGCCAGATTTTTGTTACTGCCTGTGTCTCTGTTTGGGAAATTTCCCTCCACATCCTGTCAGGGACATATGCAAAAACACATCTTTATATAATTTAAAAGTGCTAGGATGTCTAACAACACAATGCTTTTATTAGCTGTCTACACCTTCCTGTCCCACAAACTGAGACATTTCCATTTCTTGGACAGACAGAAACTTAGAGAAAATCTTCCCAATTCACAGACAGAAACCAATATAAATTTTAAATCTTTAACACTTTAAAAAAAATTGTCTTGAGTTGGCTTTCAAGCAGTCAAAAATGGGCCTTCACATAAATATGTATTTTCACCTCTCATATTAGGCTAAAAAGTAGGTTTTATTTGTCAAGAAGCAAGAAAACATATAAATCATAGACCACAAAGCCTGCACTGTTAAAAAATTAGGTTGGGTCCAAATCAATCCTAGCTGCCCCCCCCCATCACCATCACCACACCATTCTTCTAATCCCCACACTAATATTTTTTTAATAGATACCTTGTTCCAGGTGTCTTCTCTGTGGCCATGTGACATGGGGGATCACTTCTTCCCTGGTGGTGGACAATTCTTACTCCTGCACAGAACACCACTCAAGAAATGATGTATGAATGTTGTCCTGTGCAGCAGTAGCACGAGCCCAGAATGGCATGGCATCAGCTTTAGATGGCAACACCAGTTGCTTTATTAAAACATAAATACCTAAATAATTAACAGCAGCGTAAACAGAAATAACATACCAAATTCATGTTTTACCAAAAAATAGTTAACAGTGAAGTCATCAGGAAGGAAGTCTTTGGTTGCAATATTTATATAGAGGGATGGAGCACAAAGGAGTTATGACCATGCAATATGCCAAAAGGTATAAATACATACAGTCCAACAGCACCAATAAGGAAAGTCCAAAGAAGCTAAAAAGTCCAATAAAGGATATCCAAAAAGTGACACCTGTGGCCAGGGGCGGACTGACCATTTGGAAACTCGGGCACTGCCCGAGGGCCGGGGTCAGTAGGGGGCCCATTGAGATGCCCCTGGTACCTTTTTCATAGGCTTTTTTGAGTTTGGGCAAGGACACAGGGGCCCCATGATCCCCTATTGCCCAGGGGCCCATGAGTTGTCAGTCCACCCCTGCCTGTGGCTGCTTTCCCCAGAGTTAGAAGCCAGCACTGTAATGAAGGAATGACAAAGAACAGGGAAGCGCCGTCTACTTAAGTGGAGTAGTAAAAGTACATCTATTAAAGGATACGTTTACCTTTGGAACATGTTACATGTTACACCCATTTTTAGGGTGGAACATGTATCATGTTCCCATAGCTGCAGCTCCCCCCTCCCTCTAATAGATAGTATGGGGAGAAGTTTCCCTATACTATCTGTTAATTTGAAAACAGCGGTCTGCCCACATGGCCGCATCATTCATTCACGGACGTCTGTGAATTAATGAACTGCAAGTCCTGGCAGCCTTAGCAGCTGTGGGCTTGTAGTTTTCAATGAACTACCACGGTGATGTAAAATTTAAGCTTCCATCAGTATATTTGCTTGACCGTACATCCCGTACGGCAAGCACATTTTCTGACAGGTCTGCAGGAGACCTGCATGGCATCAGCGATCTACTGATCAATACTTTCTAGGCTCCTTTGGACAAAAATAATAAATGCAGATTTTTTTTACCTGCAAAAAAATGTGCATTTATTATTTTTGTCCAAAAGATGAACTTATCCTTTAAACAAAGGGTTTAGCAACTCACATGTTTAAAACATGATCTCGCTCCTAAAGAATGTTTAATACCGTCAGAGAACCCTGTTCAGCAGAACCTGCTGTTAGGATGGAGCCATGGCCACCAGCTGTGTCCATAGTGCTTGAGAAGCTGCAGAGGCTCCCAGAACCGCTTGTGGCCAGCTTGGAGCACACACAAACAACTGAACTGAGGTCAGCTTAGGGGAAACAAGTGTGAACGGCTCTACGTCATGGAGCATGTGTGCTCCTTCTTCAGGCCTACTGCCTTTGGTTGCAATATATCTTTGAATAAGCCACAGCTCAACAGCTTGATGACCTCTTACTGAAGCATTACAATTCCCTTGGGAACCAAACGAAGAGAGGACTGAAAAAACCACTGATGCCATAGGGTTCCACATCATCAGACATGCCCTCTTTTCCAAAACCATCCCGATGATTTTCTAAGCATCAAAGACCTTCTACCCACCAGGCTTCTGTGACAAATGACCTGCTCTCAATGACAACAACAAGAGAGGGGTGGACATGTAGGACAACTCAGCTTTGCTCCTCCTTACCTAACCAGTTGCCTTCTTCTTGCTAGGTAGGACTCCTCCACTGCATTCCTGTCATTACACCATTCATAAAAAAGAAAAAACTCCATAAGATTACATTTGCTTTCAACATATTTTGTGCATGGCATTTACCTGTAAAAACCTCTCCTATGAAGACATCCAAATAGCCCTGGGACAGCTGCTGGGTACTATCATCTTGGATGCAAAGTCAGCACCCACAGCAGTAGAGATGACACTCAAGTGATATTCTATAGCATGGAGGTTTTGCATGGAGGTTAAGGGAGGGGCATAGGAGATAGCCCAGCACAGAGAGTAACTAGACACTCCCAGAAAAGGAAACATGCAAGGTTGGGAGTTGAGCTAGGGGACTGACTCTCAAATTTGCTAGAAATTTCAAAGGCATATTGCAAGCCAATAACAACTCATTGATAGGAAAAAGCTAAAAGTATGAAGAATTGACTCTTCCTGGAAAAGCAAAAAGTTTCTATCAAGTTCAAAAGCAAACTACGAGTAATAAAACATTTTTTACTATGTTGTCCTACTACTAACGGTTAGTCGACAGCTAGCTTACAAAATTGAAAGAAGCAGCATTGTGTTTAATTCAAAACTGAATTTACTTCTGGAATAGTTCTGTAAAACTGCAATACAATCATATAAACTAAGGTTACACTATCCTTTTACATGTCTTTTACAAATGCATACAATGAACACATTTCCTTGCAAACAGCTACCTACAAATCACATCAAATACATTGAAATGCAATCTAGCTATTATATATTGTAGCTTTAACAAACAGTGCATAGACTTACGAGCATAAGTGTATCAAAGGGAGAAAGGAGGCCTTCACTGGTGAGTTCTTCTAGAAACTGAAATAGCACTGCAGTGGTGGATGGAAAATCTTTATTTAAAAGAGTTTTTGTTTTTTTTTTCTTTTTTTAGAAATCATACTTACCTCAGGTGGATGTGCATCGGTGTGATGCTGCATCTGTCCCCCCTGCTGACTCTAAGACTGAGAACTGCATTATCAAAGACTGCTGATCGATCAGTTCTCAGTGCTCCATGAGCAGTGAGCTGGGAACTGTCAGTCAACGCTCTCTGCTCTGCCCACCCCTGACCTCACTGGAGCACTGGGCTGTGGAAGGAGAGGGAGCTGCTGGCTCAGGCTCTCAATGGATCGCTGAGAGGCTGAGCCAGGTGCCAGTCCAGGGATTTGGGCAGATCTGACTTTAAAGTTGGGAGCTTTCCCCAGCCTAGACTGGCTGAGTGACGTCAGTGTCAAGGTCCTACCTTTTCCCAGAGGTTATGTTACTCCATGTGCTGGCATCCATCTTGGATTTCTGCTGAGCATGGTGGGAATCTTTTATGCCTTCAGGTCTCTGAGGGTCCATCCCCCAGAGGGGTGTGGCTGATTACATATAAGCCTGTGGTCCGCACATGCTCTTTGCACTTGTGTCTTGTGTCTTGGTGTGCTTATAACTCTGTTCTGACTCTCGTGACTCTCCTGGAATCTGACTCGGCTTGTGACTCGACTATTCTTTGTGTTCTCTTTTGATCTGACCCTCTGTTGCTGAACCTGGCTCGTGACTAGAGATGAGCGAAGTATTCAAAAATCGATTCGACTGATTCGGCGAATTCGTAGAGAAAAATTTCGATTCGAGTCGAATATATTCGCTGTGAATTTAACTTAAAAAAGGGTGTTTCTAGGCTTCAGAGAGACTTAATATTAGCGCTGAACACTGTACCTTTAATTTAAATGCCCTTGGAGTCTGCTGGGGAAGAGAAATAATATGTCAGGCAGTATTGACATGCAGATGAGTGCCGTCGATCTTAGAATCACCGCACACTTCACTCATTTGGCCAGTTCACGGGGCCAAAAACAGAGTGTGGAGCCACAGTGTGGCGGTGGAGGGCAGCAGCAATGGGAGGCCATACAGCACCCTATGACAAAAATGGAAACCACCAGCATGTGAGGAGACCTGAAAGTGGCACATGGCAGAGTGTGGCGATAGAGACAGCAGCAATGGGAGGCCGTACTACAGGGACCCATGACACACTCTGGACCTGGCAGCAGCATGAGGAGGTGGTACAGGGGCCCATGGCAGATTACGGGCCTGGCAGCAGCATGAGGAGTCGAGTCGGTAGGGGGGCCCATGGCAGATTACAGGCCTGGCAGCAGCAATGGGAGGCCGTACAGGGACCCATGACACAATTGGACGTGGCAGCAGCATGGGGAGGGGAGGCGGTACAGGGGCCCATGACAGATTACGGGCCTGGCAGCTGCATTTGGAGTCGGTAGGGGGCCCATGACACACTCTGGACCTGGACAGCAGCATGAGGAGGCGGTACATGGGGGCATTTACATGACAGATTACGAGCCTTGGCAGCAGCAACTTGGACAGGAGGACGTTCAGTTTCTGCACCGTCTGGTGCGTGCTCGCAAAACTGATTGTCTCTTGGAAAACGGATTCCCAGAAAGTCAGCTGACGGAATCCTTGTGTAAGAGGAGAGTAGCAGGATGGAAGGAGCCTCTGAACGAGCGGACTAGCCAACCAGCGACGGAACGGGGCCATGGCAGATTGGGGCCTGCGCAAGCTAGCTATGGGAGGCCCGTAATCTGCCCGGGGCCCCGACACACTCTGGACCGGGAGCGCTGAGGAGGCGGTATATAGGGGGGCCCATGGAGATTGGGGCCGGCAGAGTATGGGGGG